AAACCCTAAACCCTGAACCCGTAATTTGGGAACCTAAACCACTGAAAGGTACTGTATAGGAACAACCTCCAAGGAACTCGACAAAGAACCCTACCTATAGTGCCCTTAAAAGGAACCCTATTATAGAACCCTTTCGTACCCTTAAAGGGAACTCTATAAAAAGTTGCAGAATTTTATAGAGCCCTAAACCCTAAACCTTAAACCCTAAACCCTAAACACCTAAACCCTAAGCCCTAAACCCCCTTAAGGGATCTGCTTTTTGGATCCTCCTGGGTGGGGCTCAGGGCTCCCATGGCGCCTGCGGCAGAGGCTGCCAAGCCCAAGGTTCCAGGTCCACCGGAGAGAGAGCTGCCTGCGCTTAAGAGTTAGAACAAGGTTTAGGGGTTTAGGGTTCAGGGTTTAGGGGTTGGGTTTAGGGTTTAGGGTTTAGGGGTTTAGGGTTCAGGGTTTAGGGGTTAGGGTTTAGCATACATGTCATATCATCACAGGCCGTATTAGAATATATAACACATAATATGTAACATGAGATGGAGACAGAAAGCACCCGCCTTTGGCGGCTCGAGCCCGAGGTTGGCAGAAGACCTGAGGCGTGCGCGAGTTGGAGGAGTCGGGGGTCAGGGTTCCGGGTTTAGGGCTTAGAATTTTAGGGCTTAGGGCTTTGAGTTTGAGTTTAGGGTCCCGTAATTAAACTCGTCATCGAGAGATGTTTTCCATAAGGGTCTTGGCGTCTAAATCTAGTCAACATTGTAGAGAACCCTAAAGAATACTATTGGCAAGCCCCACTTGCACTCCATGCTTCAGGGAAATGCCACAACGAGTCTCTGGTTGGGAACTGATGCATGGTTTTCCAACTGGTGTAGGGTGTAGGGTTTAGGGTTTAGGGGTTTAGGGTTTATTACAGACCAATACCAACAACCCAAGGTACTTGGTGTAAAGACACGACGTAGCAAGTGGGTTATGCGGGTGCTTGCACGTATGAACAATGAGCCAATCAGGGTCTATAGCACAAGAAGGTTACAAAATGCATCGCTCGATGTGCAAAAAACCCTAAACCCTAAACCCTAAACTCCTAAACTTCTAAGCGCCTCAACCCCGCTCTAAGGCTCCAGACACGAAGTCCTGTGCTGAAACCCTCCTTGGCTCATGTGGGGGTTTCCGAAAATAGGGGACCCTATTATAGGACCCTAAATAATAGGATCCTTATTATAAGGACCCCCCAAAATAACCCTAAACCCTAAACCCTAAACCCTAAACCCTAAACCCTAATTTTTGGGGAAACTCCCATGTCTCTGAGGCACCCGGCAGATTCCAGGGTGAGCTTTCCAGAAGCAGCTCCAGAGACCTTTCGGGTTTTAGGGCTTTGGGGTTCCTTTAAAGGGATCTATAAGGGTTCTATAAAGGGATCTATAGGGGTT